TAATAAAATTCATTGTAAATAGTTCTTAAATTGTTTCAGTTTTTTCTGAATGACCACTTCAAATACATTTTGTAACAATTTTTTTATTTGAACTTAATTTACAAAACCATGAACAAAATAACATTAACATAACTAAACAATATTTTACATGAACATTCATTTTTGCACCATTTTTTCTAAAATAGAGAAAAGCCTGTCCATCCTCTCTGCTCTCCTCTCCTCCAACTCTCTCTGCTGCCTCATGTCCTCCCTCATCAAGTCCATAACGTTCACCATCAAGTCCATTAAGTCTTCATCTCTTTCTCTCTTCCTTCTTCTCTGTCTGACTGGTTGTCTCTCCCTCTCATCCTCCTCCTCCTCCTCCTCAGCAGCAGCAACAGCAGCAGCTTCTTGACCACCCACTGCAGAGCTTGGCCCTGGTCCGTCCTCAGGAATAGAGGCAATCAGGACAGGGGAGTTAAGAGAATGCCTCTGTCCCAACACCTCATCCATGAGGGCGAACCAGGGCCAAGTTTCTGCAGCGGGTTTGTTTCCAACTCCCTCACCTGACCATGGATATTTGCAATCCTAAAACACAAAATCATTCATGACAGCAAAAAATATGAGGTACAAATACCAGTTACAAAAATAACTGAAATCATGTTTACATACTTTGTATTTTTTCTTCAAATGGTCCCATTTTTTTTTGGCTTGTAAGGCTGTCACTTTTCCTTGCAAGCCCATTTCCTCCAGAATATCCCTAATAACAAAAAGAAAGTGAAACATAGATTTTATCAGTAGGATAAAAAAGAGTCTTGGACCTTGTCAGCAATCTTACAAATTACAGAGCCCGCAGGGGACATGGGGGATTTTATATATATTTTTGCATTCCCTCGCAATACCTTTGCGTTCCCAGGCAATAACTTTGCGTTCACTCGCAATACTTTTGCGTTCACTCGCAATACCTTTGCGTTCACTCGCAATGCCTTTGCGTTCACTCGCAATGCCTTTGCGTTCACTCGCAATACTTTGCGTTCACTCGCAATACTTTGCGTTCACTCGCAATGCCTTTGCATTCCCACGCAATACTTTTGCGTTCCCTCGCAATACCTTTGCGTTCCCTCGCAATACTTTTGCGTTCCCTCTCAATACTTTTGCGTTCCCTCGCAATACCTTTGCGTTCCCACGCAATACTTTTGCGTTCAATCGCAATACTTTTGCGTTCCCTCGCAATGCCTCTGCGTTCACTCGCAATACTTTTGCGTTCACTCGCAATGCTTTTGCGTTCACTCGCAATACCTTTGCGTTCCCACGCAATACTTTTGCGTTCACTCGCAATACTTTTGCGTTCACTCGGAATGCCTCTGCGTTCACTCGCAATGCCTCTGCGTTCACTCGCAATGCCTTTGCGTTCACTCGCAATACTTTTGCGTTCACTCGCAATGCCTCTGCGTTCACTCGCAATACTTTTATGTTCACTCGCAATACTTTTGTGTTCACTCGCAATGCTTTTGCGTTCACTCGCAATTCCTTTGCGTTCACTCGCAATTCCTTTGCGTTCACTCGCAATTCCTTTGCGTTCACTCGCAATGCTTTTGCGTTCACTCGCAATTCCTTTGCGTTCACTCGCAATTCCTTTGCGTTCACTCGCAATTCCTTTGCGTTCACTCGCAATGCTTTTGCGTTCACTCGCAATTCCTTTGCGTTCACTCGCAATTCCTTTGCGTTCACTCGCAATTCCTTTGCGTTCACTCGCAATGCTTTTGCGTTCACTCGCAATTCCTTTGCGTTCACTCGCAATTCCTTTGCGTTCACTCGCAATAACTTTGCGTTCACTCGCAATACCTTTGCGTTCCCACG